AACAATCATAATTTTTTATTCGAAAAGAGTTACTGAAAACCTACTGGAGATATCAACAGAAAACTAGTTTTAGCTAACGATGTAGACCTAATCCCTTAGTTGGGAGGTTATTTTTTAGGCCAAAATCTATTGTTTAAATGTTCAAGTAGTTTAGTTTTTTATACGTTTTTTCTCTCTTATATAATTAGTAACAGGTGGTGATATTATTTTTCTTTTTTTTAAGATATAGAATGATTTCATTACATTTACAAGTTGAACAGTACCGTTTTCCCTCAAAAAATTTAGTGCCAAATGAAAGATCTTGGCACATGACAAGGAGTTGAAACAAGGTGGAAACAATTCACGAGTGTGGATTCGATTGAATCAGTGAATTCCTATGGAGTTTGCTAATTCGCAGGTCTTAAAGATCTTGCTTTGTTTTTACAGAGTTGCGTAGAGCCAAACTTCAATTAAGATGACATGGGTCATTCACCTCCACAACCACAGTGTCTCTTTTCTACACACACATCATGCACTCTCTTTCATACATCTTATGTTTATAAATTTCATTATTAAATTAAATTTAATAAACTAATGGATATGGCGACAACAGTACTATACCTACAACAAACTACCACCTGTTAAGTTCATGAATCCAACATCCCTCCTCTCTCCATATAAACCCCAACGATTATCAAAACACACACACAAATTCACTGATCTTCTCTCTCCATCTCCAGTGAAGAAATTTAACTATAACGAAACACAATGCCTTCTTCTTCAAATGTGTTGTCCTCCAATGCACCATATACCCAGATCAAAAATCAAGAATCAAACATTAAGGCTTCGTTTTCTGATCTTCTATGCTCTCTTGTCAATACATACAGAAAGGCGTTCTTCTCTCAAATACTCTTATCGTTACCAAATCATTTCTTTACTCAAACAACTCTCTACACCACTCTTTTCACTTCCCCTGCTATGGCGCGTCTCATACTAACTCGGAAGGCCATGTCAGCATCATGCGTAACGACGCGGGAATCGACTCATTGAGCGAAAGCGGCTTTTTGAATAATCATAATCTTCTGTCCCCGCTCGATGTCCTGATCTTTTAAAGAGTTCTTAATTGACAGAACTCAGGTACGCCGGCCACAAACAAGCCGTTAGCCGCCGTTCAAGTTACCGAGCTGGGCTGACGGTGTTTTATTGGCTGTACCGTAATATGCCGTTACTGACGGCACTTCGTTCTGGCATTTCTTTAATACATTTGATGGAAATTTGCAAAGGCGTGAAAAAAAATCTCGAAATCTCAGACCTTTTTCTGTGACACCGTGTTTGACTCACCGGCCGTGCTGAAATTCCCCGCCGGTGGCCCCAAAGGTTACTTCTCCGGCAACGAGCCGTTGCGGGAAAGGATTTTGTAGTTTTAGCAGAGAAGCTATTTTTGAAAATGAAATTCAGAGCCAATAACGGAATTTTGAAAATAAACCGGCAAATTCCGAGGATTATGGGGAAGCAAAGTAACGACAGTTGGATAACCGTTAACGGAGAGAAACGTCCGCTCTGGAGAGTTTATTATTGAAAAAAACAATTCAAAACAGACGGCGGAGATTTCCTGTTTCAGTCATTATGCGCGCAGATGTGGAGGTCCGTGACACGCGTGAGGAAACTGGCCGCCAAGTAAGACGACAAACGCTTCCGCATGGCCTGTAACTGTCGACACAGGCTGGAGCCGAGACTGGACCCACTACTTTGGCAACGCGATACAGAGCATCCCGACCTTTGCCCCAGCCGAGGGAGTCTTGTCACGTGACTTGTGTGGGGAGCCGATATGCTACACAAGAACGTGATAGCTACGACGACTACGGTGCGGCGGGTGTAGCGGATTGGGAGAGGAACCCGAGACTGTTCCAGCAGGGAATTCGACGGTGCATCCAATCACGATGGGAGCTCACGAGATCCCGATGTATATAATGATTTGGGGTGGGCCGACCTTTGGCGGTTAGGAGTGGTAGGGCAACAAATTCGATGGGAAGATTCGGCGGTTCTGGAAGAGAAGGAAAACGGGAGCGTTGATCTTGAGGTTGTGTTGGACGCCTGAAACTAGTTGGGGCTTGAGAATGATTTGGAATTATGCAGTATGTTTCGTAATGGGATTTCTATAATATTCTGAAAGCAAAAATATCAAGCCTTGAGCTTGAGTGTTGCTTGTGTGTAATCTATCTGCTATGATTTTAAATTAAAAAGTTTGATATTTTCAAAAGTTCTGTGGTTCATACGATCTACCAGAAATTTGAGAGGTGATTTGACTTGGTAAATGGCAATGGCTCTATTACCATTTGCACCAAGTATGAAGTTAACTCTCCGCAGGTCATAGTGCTATGCGACTGCAGCAAGGACTGACCAAGAAATTTAAACCTCAAAAAAGTTTTATTAAAGTTTTACGTTTACAGTAAGCTTTGACACCTGTTGTCACTTCAAAGTTCAGAACAACTCTTCACTTAAAATGGTCTTCTCAAAAGAATCCTGTGCTTGAACTTCTTTAGCTCATTTTAGAAAATCCTAACTTGTTTCCGCCAACGCTTACTCCTCTAATTCCTTAAAAAGATTGGATAAGAAATTGAAGAAAAGAAGAAGACGATAATGCTATAAATCTGTTGACTATCACTAGACTTCAGCGTATCTGCTAAGAGTCTCATATATTTTCAAAGTTTTCGATTCAATAATACAAAGAATTTTATTTTTGTATATAAATCAATAGATTAAAAACGGAAAAAAAACGCAGTAGTAAGTATGTATTATTTGTTGAGGCCTTAAATGGTATATTTTCTCCTTATTAAAATTATATATAAGTCAATGAACGCACTAAAAACTGCTTCGTGGGAACACACCAGCAAGATCTTTCATGGTGTGAAGTTCATACGATGCCAGTAGGAACTGAAATCAGAAGAGACAAAGGGGCAATTGTTAATCTTGGCACAATTGTAGAGAAGAGAGTAGCGTAGAAGAAGGTGGAACGAGCACATGAGGTGGGCCCAGTGGTAAATGGGTTTCAAGTGACACGAATTTATCGGTATGGCAAGGATTCCGAACCGGTGCTAAAAGCACTTGTGGTACTTACAAGAGCCCTAAAGGGATTAGTCTCATACCTTCAGGTATGGGATGGGGAGACATGAGACATTCCCAAAAAAAAAAATTAATGAGGTACAACAGCAGGAGAAGGAACTTGAAGCGGGAAATAAGTTTGGAAATGGAGGAGTTAAAAGTTGGCAGTAATTGAGAAAAAAATGAAAAATTAAATTAGGACCATTGAAGAAGGTGGTCCTAATTTAATAAAGGAGTTAAGTTTGGCAACTAGAAGAAGGTGGAACAGCAACCATGAGATGTGGCCCAGTTGGTAACGGGTTTCAATGTTGAAACGAACTTTACCTGTAAATAAGGATTCGAACGGTGCTAAAAGCACCTGTGGTACTTACCTGAGCCTTGAATGAGATTAGTCTCATATCTTCAAGTATGGGAGACATGGACTTTCACCAAAAAAATAAAATAAAAATGAGGTACAACAGCAGGAGAGAGGAATTGAAGCCGAATAAGTTTTGGAAATAGAGCTTTAAGTTTGGCAGCTAATTGAGAAAAATGAAAAAAATTAAATTAGGACCATTGAGAAGGTGGTCCTAAATGTAATAAGGAGTTAAGTTTGGCAGCAGAAGAAGGTGGAACAGAACCATGGGTGGGGCCCAGTGGTAAACTAGGTTTGCAAGTGAGCCGAACTTACTTGTAATATTAGGGATTCGAACCGTGCTAAAAGCAATTGTGGGGTATATTACGCTGAGCTGAATGGGGATTAGTCTATACATCTCAGGTATGGGGAGGACAGAGGCTTTCCACACAAAAAAAAAAAAAAAAATGAGGTACAACAGCAAGAGAAGGAACTTGAAGCCGGAAATAAGTTTTGGAAATAGAGCAGTTAAGTTTGGCAACTAATTGAGAAAAATGAAAAATTAAATTAGGACCATTGCAGTTAAGTTTGGCAACTAATTGAGAAAAATGAAAAATTAAATTAGGACCATTGAAGAAGGTGGTCCTAATTTAATAAAGGAGTTAAGTTTGGCAGCTAGAAGAAGGTGGAACAGCAACCATGAGGTGTGGCTCAACTAGTAACTGGGTTTCAAGTGAGACGAACTTTACCTGTAATATCAAGGATTCGAACTGTTGCTGAAAGCATCTTGTGGTACTTACTTGAGCCTTGAATGGGATTAGTCTCATACCTTTAGGTATGGGGAGACATGAGACTTTCACAAAAAAAAAAAAAAAAAAAAAAAAAAAAAAAAATGAGGTACAATAGCAAGAGAATGAACTTGAAGCGGAAATAAGTTTTGGAAATAGAGGAGTTAAGTTTGGCAGCTAATTGAGAAAAATGAAAAATTAAATTAGGACCATTGAAGAAGGTGGTCCTAATTCAATAAAGGAGTTAACTTTGACAGCTAGAAGAAGGTGGAACAGCAACCATGAGGTGTGACCCAACTGGTAAATGGGTTTCAAGTGAGACAAACTTTACCTGTGATGTTAGGGATTTGAACCGGTGCTAAAAGCACCTTGTGGTACTTACCTGAGCCCGGAAAGGGATTAGTCTCATAACTTCAAGTATGGGGAGACATGAGACTTTCACCAAAAAAATAAAATAAAATGAGGAACAACAGCAAGAGAAGGAACTTGAAGCCGGAAATAAGTTTTGAAAATAGAGGAGTTATGTTTGTCAGCTAATTGAGAAAAATGAAAAATTAAATTAGGAACATTGAATTTTTTATCTGATACATAACAAAAGATACTTATCTTAGGATTATGTTGATCGACAAATTTTATCAAACCCCTAAAAGATGAAGTCCATGAAGCTAGAACAGAGAAGAATTTGTTTGGCAGATTTGACTTATCTATAAAGATTTTAGTTTTCTACTGACAAATTTGTTTGTTAACAGAAACTTTGTGCAGCACAATACCAAGGGACTAACAGGTTAGAAATGCTGTAGAAATTAACTAGGATGCTTATTAAGCCAAAGCTGACATTCAAATGAATGGAATGTTGCATTGGGCACAGCATAACTAACCACATATTTCACAGCCCAAAAACACATACAACCAATCAATAATATCACAATTAATCAACCAGACGCACCCCTCTAATGGGCTTTCTTTTAAGCCCAAAGAAAGTTTACAATGACTACTGATTCCTGAGAAGTTTGCTGAAGAATCCTTTGGGATGTTTCTGCATCAACTGTAGTTGATTTCTGCTGCTGGAAAGATACGTTTTGCCAGCCATTGTATAGGACTCAATAGCTGCGCTCTCTTCTTTTGCCAGAACCAAATCGCAGCGTTATATTGTTCGTTGCGTATCTTGCTAGTGGCTGCCTTCCAGTCATACTTCTCCGTTTCCTGACGTGCGGCTTTCCCCATAGTTTCTCTCAATTCTTTGTTGTGCAACAGAGGCTCCAATTTACTCAAACAGTCTTCCAGGTCGCCTGGATTAAAGAGATAGCCAGTTTTGCCCTCCTGATCATCAGGAATAATATCAGGGATTCCTCCAGCACGAGCTCCCACCACAGGAATTCCCGAAGACATGGCCTCCAAAACTACTAGTCCAAGTGTCTCAGATTCTGAAGGCATCACGAAAACATCCCCACTAGCATATGCCTGGGATAGCTCTTCACCTTGTAGCATTCCAGTAAACACTGCAGGCATGCCAGTGAACATTTTTTCCAGTTCCTCCCTGTGGAAAAAGAAGCCATGTTTTGTAACTTGACACGCATGGGATTTGAAACATTCTTAATTTCAGACTAATGATATAATCAATATCACATAAGAATATGCCAAAAGAAACATCTAGTTTTGAATAATATCTCTTGATCAAGTAAGATCAACTTAAACTATTTTCATCATTCTTTGGGTTACATGAGCTCGGTTCCTGAAATGATATGTTGAAATGGGCGAGGTCAAGTTAAAGCAGTCAACATATCCAGTTAGGTTCCCAGGTTATAATATGCACTTTATCTTGTAAGCTAATATTGGCTTAGAGAATGGCCTTCAAAGGAAAATGAGTGAGTATGCATGTATGAATTGATTACCTGTATGGACCATCTCCAATAAAAGCAATCCGGGCTTCTGGAAGTCTATCCATGACCCTGTGAAATCATGTACTCCAACTGTCAAGGGGTTGTAAGATAATAATCACAAACAACATTTACAAAGAACAAAGAGCTATCATGACATTCATGAGTGAGGTCGCTAACCAAAGAAATTTCAGCTGAAACTCGATCCATAAAAAAGAAAGGAGATTATAAAATGGCTACACAAATCTGATGGATATCAAATTTTCAAGGTCAGTGTAGTTTTGGTGGACAAGAGGTGTAAAGCAAACAAATGAGTAGCCGCTTACTCAAGTAAGTCCCACCAGCTCATGTTATGTCCTGAACATTTAATAATGGGCGCAAAAACTAACTAATCTTTATTTCAACAAATAATTAGAAAAAGAGACTAATTTGGAGGAGAAAATTAGCAACAATACATGTTTGCATGACTGAGGAATACTACCTTTTGAGAAAATCCAAACTCTTTTCCACTCCAAGTCGGCCAACATGGACTATTAATGGTTTCTCAGGTTCACCATTGCTGTTTAGATCAAAACATATGGTAATAAGAAAAGTTCCTGGAGAAAGGCTAGAATGGACGTTAAAGATTATGAGGGTTATACCTTAGTCTCAATCTCATTTCATGAGAGCGGTAACGTGGGTTGAAGCTTTCAGAATCTACACCCTTATTCCAAAGACGAATCTTATTAGCTGAAATAAAGAAATAGCAAGTTAGTTATGGATACTGTTGAATTGACACAGATTATAGCTGTCTAGTCAACATATGATAAACATTCAGGGAACAACTCCAAACGAAAATGAGCAAATGTATTTGATGCATAATTCTAGATTCAGTTTCTGCAAGGCAGTATTTTACTAAGGTACAGTTCACATGTATTCACCTGCTGTCACCCTAGCTGCTTCAAGATCCTTTGCAATGGCAGCTGATGGAACCAATGTAAGATCAGCTGCTCTATGAAGAAATTCTGAAAATGAAGACCAAGTTGTTAGAAAAATGCATACAAATAAAAATAATTAAAAAAAAAAAAAAAAAAATCATCATATGGTCTTAAGAGTGGGGAAAAAAAAAAAAACAGCTTACTTATAACCAACCACATAGGTGTCACCAGCCAACTAAAAGTGTATCTTGGGATATATCTGCAGATTTAAAAAAGAAAAAAGTTTAATCCTACCCCTAAACAATAATTTACATATGTAGAGAAATCAGGCACATGTCATATGCTAATTTAAGAAATTGATAAGTTTTCTACTCATTTAATTGTATTAAATTAATTCATAACAGCGTGTGCATGCAAGTAAGGAAATTATTTTACCGTAAAAATAGAAGAGAATTAAACTCACACTGGAACATGAGTGTGATATGACATGACAATTGGTACACACAATAGTTTTGCAATGATCAGAGCACCAAAAACCTACAAAAGTTAGAAAATGTCAGCCATGTCCCAAATATTCTAGTTCTGCCATTTGTTCTTCTTGAAAAGAGATCATAAGAATCAACACTCAAGAGAAACCATTAGTCATTACAAACTTACCATGATCCCAGGTGAAGATGCATGTATTATGTCAGGTTTAAACCGAGCAACCTCTGAAATTATTCTGGGACTAAGTGCTAGGGAAAGAGGCACTTTCTGGTACCAAGGGCAAGGGAAGCTGCAAAGAGGAGACGGAAAAATTGAGAGCCAAAAGGAATGGACAATTCTCAAAACCAAAAGCACTGCCACATAACAGAAGTATGTGCACAGGCTCCTAAGTCAAGCAGTTCTAGCAGTCTGCTAGAAACAGACAGTAAAGAAAGATAATAGAAGATAGATCACACAAAACGGTAATCACCAAACATTGATTAAGAAAATTACCAATTGCTGTCATGTGAGAATGCTGAACTCGTTATTAACTATATTCACATATAAAAAGCACTTATTATATTTTTATTAATCTAGTGATTCTCCAAACAATGGGATCACATCTTTGTTGCAATTTAAGAGAACAAAAATGATCTTTTATTTTGTTTTTTTGTTCTTCCTGTTTTCTGATGCTTACAAAATTAACTTTCTCAAGTAGTTAATGAAGTAGGTTGGAGAAACAACTCACTTTTCTACTTTTAAATATCTAAGGTTTGAGTCTCTAGGTCAGCATTTTCAATACTTTTATTAATTGCAAATTAGTCTTTTGCCTCTGAAGGGACACATAAGAAAATGTTCCAAATGAGGAAATAATGACATTTAATTTAAAATAACCTCCGTGAGCCAATCAATTTTGCTCCATAAAACTCCTGGGGCACTCCTTCATGTGTTGTCACAACCATTACCTATGCATGCAATCAATCAGCAGATAGTTAGTTTATCATGAGAAGAATTTTTTACAAGCTATATGAAATTTTGATGTGGGGTTTGAAAAGGCCAGCTGACAGCTTGGCTTGGAATGGCAATGGACTCAGGAGCTTGAGCCACTCTGAGCTCAGTTAGGCTCTTTGTCGTTTGAATCATTATTTTTTCAAAGGTTATTGTTGCAATTTGAATTAAAGCCACATCTGAGAAAATCAAGGGTCAACAAACAATATGATCACATTCCAGATACATAAGTTCATTGATCTGCATAAACTTGCAGTAGGGCTCAAGTAAGTCTTGTCTTGTGCATCATAGAAACTACTCTCATAAACATGAAAGTCAACAATAACCAGATGCAGGTTTGTGAAAAATGTACCTCATCTCCCATTTCACGTAAATATCTAATAAAATTCTGGAAACGGTTCTTATATCCTGAAACATATCTGCAAAATCAAGAGGTATAACTTTCAGAATTTTAACATTCAGTTAACAGGATAAACAGAAAATAGAAATAGAATCCATCTACATATAAATCTGAAACAGTTAACAGGATAAACAACACAAATGAAAAAGTATATAATCTGATTTTAGTCATGCACTAGACGTTTCATCTCTTTTCACTAAAGCACATTTTAAAATTTCTTTGCCCTTTTTATAAGGTTATTTTGAAATGATAAGCGTTCTGTCTACACAATTTCAAAGACATGGTGTGCCTAGGACATCTTAAGTTTAATTTGAAGTCTAAATATTCTACATTGACAATGTAATGTCATCTCTAAAGCATTTTTCCCAAATCTGAAGATACTTCAGATTTCTTACAGGATCAAAATCTTTTTCCTGACATCATATTATTTCATAGACTTATATTCAATGTAGCGTCTCTACACTTATGCGGAAACTTCCCACTCTGATGCACAGAGGAAAGTTTCAGGGAAGTGCAGATATCATCTGCAGCAAGCAGTGGTCCTAAAATTAAGAGGAATAGCAGAGTTAATACTCAGCAGTCAGCAATTTTCAGAATGACCATCAATTACTATTCATCTGGCTTAAGGACTGAGATCTAATACCAGTTACATAAACTACAAGTTCCTCATACTAAACCCCAAGAGGAGTACATTCCAGAAACATAAAAATAAAAATTATCTATCATAACCACAGATTAACCAACAATTCGTAACTTGTATAACAAACACTCCACATGATAAAGCAGCCTAGAGGTCAAAGCTAACCCAATTACCAGTAAACCAACATTTTCAGAGTCAGAATACATAAAAAAACCAAACCAAAAAGTACAAGATTGATAAAAATTTAATCATGCAACATTGGATTGATCACCAGTTGAACTTGAAACCAGTGGGAGCTGGCATAGTACACTAGACAACTGTTACAAGAACAACAGCCACTAAAAGTAACTCCTAGTTATTGACGAAAGTTATTGACATATGAAAAAAACTTATAACTAACCGAACCAAAACCAACAAAACAGAAAACAGAAATAACAAGAATTGAAATCATGAAAGCAAACTAACCCAGAACTTAAATTCCAACAATTAAACGGGAGAGCTATGTTATTAAGAACATTGAAGCAATTCAAACCAAAGGGTATCTTTAATTTGCAATAAAAGGACAAAAGAAGCCGAGAAAAAGAAAACTCACGCAAATGGAGAAGGCTCAACAAAGAGAGCAATACGACGAGGCCTAGCATTGTTCTCTGAGTCAATCAAAGGAGGATTCTCTTCCTCTTCTTCTCTGACCTCTGTAATAGTCATATTGTCGTTGTTATTATTGTTATTATCAGCTTTAACAAGAACAAGTTGTTTCCTTCTCCCAATTCTCGGACTACTAGCACTTAAAAAATCAAAACTTCTGCAAGTCAAAGAAATGGGTTTTGTTCTTGAAGAAGTAAAAGAAGAAACTTGAAAAGAAAAAGAAGAGTTTGAAGAAGAAGGAATAGAGTTAGAGCACAAGTACGGAGGATGGAGAGAGGGATTTATAGAGAGAGAATAACAAGGAGTCATGACGATTGATGAAGCAAGTATCAAATAGGATATAGAAATTGTTTAATGATTAATAACTTGTTAAAGATTTAGACGGAATCTGCAGAATTTGAAGAGTACAGAAAGAACGGATATTCTTTGAAAGGCGGGAGTGAGAAAGGTATCAAATTGGAGGAGTTTCAGTATATGCTTATTGGGTGCCTGTCCCTGGGTGATGGCGTGACGCCTTTCTCCTATAATACCATGGGGAAACCAATCACCAACTCATTACCCTAATCTTCTTATAATCTTTTCTAGATTATAAAAAAATAACTAAATTATGCTTCTTATAAAGATAATATTAAGCATGTGCCATATATTAGCAAAAACTTTAAAAATCAAACATGCTTTTCAAGAAGCATTAATCTAAGCCAAGTTCGAAGTATGTTTCAACAAGAGAAATGAAGGCATTGGGTTTGTTTATCCCTTTCACTGCCAGGTGTAACTCCGATGTCTCTTATTACCCACAAGTTGGGATTTT